TCTCATTTTTTTAAATGCTTCAAAAAAAAGAAAAATTTGAGGAAAATTTTTTTTATTTGATTGTGGTGGAATGAATGTTTGTTTTTCATATCAATTCAATTACAATGATAAGGACATACATTTTATTGCTCATAGTTATTATGAAGATGTTCCAACATAATTTGTTTCACACTAAATCATTTCCTAAATCATTAATGTTGCTATTGAGTAATTTAGTTTTTAAATTTAAGCTAGGATTAAACTCTTAAATTTCAAATTTTTAAGAGAGAATGTTGAAAAATTCGAATGCAAAATAATTATATAATTTGAAAGTAGAAAATGCTCAAACAACCATTGATCATTCTGCAATTCCTCTTTTAACATTCGTGCATGCCTGCTTTTTTTTTCAATTCTCAAATTTATAATTGAATTTTTGCAAATATTTTATCTCTGCAATATTATTTGGATATTTTTAATTAGTAATCAGTTGTTAGGAATTTTCTCAAAATTTTTAATATTTTCAAAATCGGACTGTTTTATGTTTATTAGAAAGCAAACAAAAGACATTATAAATCGGTTTTCTTTCTGAAGCTTTTATTATCTTTGTTGCTTATCTGTTCATCGCTAACCTTTGACCCAATCCTCTAGGCTGTCCATTATCTGGTAACGGATGCAGCTGTTCATTTCGGCTTTTCCTCTTATGTATTAGCCATTATTCAACAGACATCCTACAAACCAATCAGCGGCTCGTGGCTTTAACATTAGATTATCTTTAAATCAAATTCATTGCTGCATTCTGAATGTATCGGAACATTTATAATTATATTTCTAAAAATTATTTGCTCGTATTTTAATTTATAGTTGAATTCATTACATTCATAATTTGAACTTTTAATTTTCAATTCTTAGCGAAATTCAATTGTATTTTTCGCAGTTAACTTCTCTTGGTGCTGCTCCATAACATTATTGTATTGTAAAATGCTTAGTCATTATTAATTTCAGGTCAATAACATTGTCGATGGGAAATCATCGAATATAAACAAGTTGAAAGGAAAGTCGATATCGAGAATTACTAATTTTCAAAACGAAGAATATTTTGAAGAGGTGCATTATTTTTTGTAGAAAGTTTTTGTTCTTCTCATTCAACAATTTAAGTTAAAAATTTTGCAAAAGTTTCTTTATTATTATCATGATATCGGTAATTTTTATTTCATTGTTGCAGTTATTGAATTCTCTTTGTGATATTTACTTAAGGAAAATTTACTGCAACTTTTTTTAAAATTATTCAGGATTTCGAAGGAGCAAGTTCGTCGATGTCCGGTGGTTTAGGACGATTGCCAAGTGAGGAGGAATTAGACGATAGTCTCTGGAATGTTCCGAATAATGCAGCAGGGCCAGGATATGTACCAATGGCTCCAAGTGATCGATGGCTCGATGGACTGAATGCTAAGGTTGGCGACTGCGTCCTCTACCGAGGTGAAGCATGTCGTGAATATCTCACCGGTCAATATGTTATGATTGTGAGCGATAATAGAGAGGATATGTACGATGTTGGTTAGTATTTTCTCTCATCATTTATACTTTTGGTGGTATGTATAAAATGAGATTTATGAAATAATTCTTTTGAGAAGTTTAATTAATGTTGATGCATAATTTAAGCATAAAAAGAATTCTTTATTATGTTCAGAAATTATTTTTTTTATACTTTCGATGTATTTAATATATATCTGTTGCAGTAATTTTAACTTTGGATAAAATGCATTATACTGAATTATTGAATAAAGTGAATGTAAATAATTATGCAATATTTTAGCAATTTTATTCGACATGAAATTTAATGTTTAAATGATATTATAGATCGTAATCTTCGGGCTGCAATGATGTTCATTAACAGTAGCCCAATTATATCGGCACAATGTAAGCATTATTCGCATGCTGTTGCATGCTATCATATGTATAAGATATGTGACAGGAGATCCGGAACAGACTATCGAACTACATCCGGTATGCCTCATATATTGACGATTTGCCGAAAGGATTGTGATTCACTGCAGGTTTATTTTTGCTCAAATAAAGTTAAACATTATTAAAATTTGTTACTAAAATTGAAAATTTTACAAATGTTTTATTTCAGGGAGATTTATGTCCTAAAGAATTAGCGTTAGCAGCTGAGCATGACCTGGTTGGTGACGATCCCAAAGCTCTTCTTCCCAAATGTCAGTCATTAAATCCGAAAGCGGAATACTGCGTACCAATTATTAGTGTTGCTGATCAGGTTATTTTTTCGTTTTCTGCTAAAGGCATATTATAAGTAAAATTTCTCGGAAACATAAACAATATAACTTGAAATGGATGTTGTAGTTTCCCGAGATTAAGAATATATTTCATTTCTAGTCTGAAGGTAGTACTGCTTTATCTTCCGATTCTTCGAAAGAATTACCACATTGGTGCTATGTGGATAGTGGTAAAACTTACAATGGTAATGCTTCGGTAACAAAGTCTGGAAAGCTTTGTATGAATTGGACGCAGAGCTCATCGAGGTAGTTCAGTTGTTAAGCACTTCATATTTAAAGGGTATCTTCACATTGTTATGAATGCATTACTATAAAATTGAAACTCTCTGTTTGAAATGAAATATTTCTTAAAGTTTTATACGAAATGAATGTTATACTTTGTGCACATTAAAAAATAAAGAATTTTGCAATAACAATGAATTTTTATTATTGATATATTATATAATACATTAAATGCGTTATTGTAGGGAATTCAACATTGATCGATATTCGTCATTACGAACTAGCAAGAATTATTGTCGTAATCCTGGAGGTAAAAAGAGTTCTCCGTGGTGTTTTGCTCATCCAAATGGACAGGAAGAATACTGTGATATTACTCAATGTCCTGCTAGTATGTATCCTTACCTAAGAGATCGAGAAGTGATGGGAACCATTGACGATGATGTTCGTACTTTTTATTGCATTTTTATTTCTTGTTAGCTAATTCAAAACTTTCAAAGGATTAATTATCTCGTTGTATCAGAGTAGAATGATGAGTTTTTATCGAGGTATCCTTCTTTAAACTTTGTATAAAGAAATATTAATTTTTAACAAATTTGTATTTAAAATATTAAAGAAAAAGTTTATATTCAGGGTTCTATAATTGGTGATCTATCAGATATTTGGTCAGGTCTGTCGTCACCAAAGCAGTTAGCAGTACTCGGTGGTTTTGGATTTTTTATTTTTAGTCTGATTCTTCTGTGTTGTTATTGTTGTTGTCGAAAGAAACGTAGAGGAACGGCAGGCTCTTCATCAACTATCAAGAAAAATGGGCTACAAAACTGCAATGGATGCAGTATTTCAAGCAGGTTCATTTATCTTTTAAATTAAATGAAATTATAAGGTATGTTGTAATGCACTTTTCTTGACTTGACGTAATGCATTCTTCTTGACATGACATGCATTCTTGTTGACGAAAATGGTTACGGATATCCAAATTGTAAAAATATTTTCAGCGCTGTAAATAGCACACATTATCGGAAACTAAATGGTACAGCAAACACTGATCCGAACAATGCCGCTTTTGAGCTTTCCTCACTGATACAAGCATCAACAAATAGTAATAATTTTATGCAACATCATCATTCTGGTAGTTATGCTCAGTACAGCCCAAGACCTTCCACTGAGCCTTCCGTTGAGCCATATCAAATTCCTGAAATACAGTCTAGCCAGGTAAACATTTTTTTTTGCAAATTATGTTTATGACATTATACATTTTAGATGTTTAACATCATACAGCTTCTTGTGGTTTATGATTAACAATGAGTGATCGCTATAGTATTTTTTGGCTCTCGTTGTGTTTTTTTTCTATATCTTTAGTTATAAATTATGAGATATAAACTTTTTGTGTTATTTCATTTCTTTTAATTTTTTACGTGACAGGGAAATTTATTCAGTAGCTAAGGCGGAATGAATTTCAGTTGCAAATCGGTGATTTGATTGGCGAAGGACAGTTTGGTGTTATACACAATGGTAATTGGCATGGTTCACTTCTTAATGGTGAGCCGATGCAGGTTAGTTGCCTCTCTTCTATCTGTTAATTTTTCATTCTCCATATTTTTGAAGTTTTGGCAAACAAAATGGAACACTTTTATGGGAGAATATTACCAGATACTTTTGCTTTTTTGAACCTATTTTAGCTAAGTAGCAGATGTTAATGGTGTTTTTTTTTTACAGGGATATATCCTCCTTTTTTTGAAATTATTACTAAAGCTTTTTAAGGTGGCAATTAAATCGTTGAAATCTGGAAGTAGCGCCGTGGAGAGACAAAATTTTGAAGAGGAAATCCGTACAATAGCACCCTTCGATCATCCAAATGTTGTGCGTTTGCTTGGTGTTTGTTACTTTGATACACAGCAGCTGAGTGCTGTGTTTGAGTATATGGTACATGGTGATCTGCATGACTTTTTGCGCCTTCGAGCACCAAAAACCAATGGGTTCGTTCAATACTTCTTCAGAAATTTTCTAGTTATTTGTGCTTTTTGATAGAGATATATTTTCCACTGAACTGCAGGATTTTTTGTGAAATATAGAAGGAATAAATCAAATTAAAAAAATGAAGATCATTTTGATATCTTCAAAAAATATGAGTGGCTATCCGTTAATCTTTTAAAGTGATGTATTTAAGTTGGTAAACTTTAAAATCAAAGAGCACATTTTTTTTCGAGAGATCGATTTTCTGTCATAAGGTTGCAAGAGAGATGATATTTGTTGTTCCTTGAGTAATAATTTTTTTTTCTAATATTGTCTAGTAAATTTGTTGGATATTTAGCGTATCAGAATGGATGCGTATGATATTGAGCAGTTTATCATTTTACATTTACGAAGAATACTATTTGCAGATATGAACAAATAATCGATCAGGAGCGGATTATCGCTGACAATGAGGATTTTTTGCGTATCGCCCTTCAGGTAATTCTTATTTTCAATAATTATTTGAGCCTATCCTATTCTTTTTAAAATTTATAGCAGATGAATTCAATAAACTTTTCCATTGTTCTAGATTGCATACGGTATGAAGTATTTGTCGAGCATGAATTTCGTACATCGTGATTTAGCAGCTAGAAATTGTCTCGTGGCTGATCAGCGGGTTATTAAAATTGCTGATTTTGGTTTAGTCCGAAGTTGCTATGAAAGGGATTACTACAAGGTTTATTATTTGTTTTTAAGAAAAAATAATGAATGCAGCATAACAAATTTTTATAAAATTAGTGTTTTAAAATAATCTAATTACAGAATATTTTAAAGCAAGCGAATTTTTTCAAAATTTTATTTTTGATTTTTGTATTTAGTTTTTCTTGAAATATTTGTTGTAGAACGCATTCTTTAGGCCTTATTTTAATTTTTGCAAGAAGTGATCTTAGGAATTTTAAATTACTTTGGTTTTTGACAAATCGCTATAATTTTTTTCAATCTTCAAGGTGATAACATTGTAAATGATTTTTGTAGGTGATGCATCGGACATGGTTGCCAGTTCGTTGGATGTCAAAGGAGGCAATTCAGTACGGTCGCTTCAGTGAAGCAACTGATGTTTGGTCATTTGGAGTAACTTTATGGGAAATTTACTCATACGGAAGGCAGCCATACGAGAGTTACTCTCATCAGGATGTCATTGAATTGATTTCTATGCGAAGTCTACTTGAATGTCCACAGAATTGCCCAACTAATATATATAGGTTTCTGAAGACTTGTTTCTTACTTTGGAATCCGTTTAAGTAATAACACTGCTAAATTGAAATTTTTTGATTTCTTGACTAGTAAATCCAAAATTTGTATAATTTTCTTTAAAAGACAGATGTCTTCCTTCCTTCAAAAGAGAACTCTAATTGATGAGTGACAATTTTGCAGTTTAATGGTTGAATGTTGGCATGAACATCCTGAAAGACGCCCAGCATTCAGTGAACTTTATTCACGTCTTCAAACTTGGTCACTTACAAGTCCATCGCAATCTGTACTTTCTCACCAACAAAATCATCCTGGCAGTTCGCATTCCGGTATTTTCTAATTTAATAAATTCCTTTAGTCAATATGAAAAAAAATGAAGACATTTCGATTTGACACTTCGGATTCAATTTATTTTAGATTCAAGTGCTGCTGCAAATCGAGGTAGCAGGCAATCATCATCAACTCCATCGGTGAGCTTATTACGCGGTACTGCTGGTAATACCTCTCTTGGAACTGCTCCGAGTACCACAGCTTTTTCGGTACCTTCACCTGCTCCGATGCAAACAATGATGACATTGAACGGCATGCATTCTTACCAAGTTGGTGCGGTAACTTATTATAGTATACTTTGTTTGCTGAGGTTTTGTTTGTATCTTGTCATTAAAATATTTCCGAACTCATAGATAACTTGTTGACTGTAAGTTTGAATTTCAAATTTATAGGAAGATCTGTATAATGATTTGGATCATATTAATACACACAATTCCAAATCCAATTAATATTTTTTCATTACAGGAAGTACCCACTTAATATCTGGAGGAAGTCATAATCGTTCACCAAAAACTCAGTTGCAAAATGCAGCAACCAGAACGAGTAATAATGCAACAGCAACAACATCACTAATACGACATTCAGGAACATCAAATTTCAATTATTCCGGCGATGATGCAGCAAGTGAAGAATCTGATTGAAAGAATCTTATTTCCTTCTAAATGTCATTCATATAAAAATTCATGAAGTGAGCTGTATTATTACTATTGTTATTGTTGTTTCTGTTGCTTGTGTAGAGTAAAGATTATTATTGTTGATATTACTTATTCCTCTGTTTTCAATGATCTCAGTTTTCTGGACGATTCTTCGACCACTTATAATTTTATTACAACTGTTTATTCATCATTTCTGATTAGGAAACTTATTTTATCCATTACTATTCTAATAAATTTATATTAGCTGAAAACATAAATTTACAAAAAAAGTAAACTCGCCGTATTACAAAAAATATCATATTTTTATAGACCAGTGAGTACCATTATATAATTTCTATTTTGTTTTATTCTACCTCATTATTACAGTTCAAGTTATATTAAAGATATATAGAGAAGTAAGAAATGTTGCTATTGATGTATAACAATGAATTGTAGGCTAATTAAGAACAATATTATGCTTTTGTCCATCCGAATTATTTTCCTCTTCAAGTCACTAACTCGACAAAATTCTGATTTTTTTTTGCCGAGAGAACTCGAGTTTTGAAAGCTTTGCTTGTTGTTATCATTATTTTTTACAAAATTTCTCAACTTATCGAGCTTATTTAACACCGTTTTTCTGTACTTTGAGATTAAGTTTATGCTAATATCAGAATATTTCATTATAATAATGTATATATGTTTTATAGAATATACATCAATGTATTGACAGTGTCATCTTTTTTTCTTCTTGGATTAGACGAAACAGGGTCATTAAAAAATATGCTATTTGCTTTTTCTCTCACATATTCATTCATTCATATACGAAAAGGTTTAATGATTATGATATGATAATGTCAACATCTCTCATTTTAACTTTAATTTCAAATTTTATAAGTGAATTGCTCTGGTCAAATTTTTATTTTGCTATTAGAGCATCATTTGATTAGTTTTTTTTTTCAATATAACAGATTGTATCAAATGAAAAAAAGATCATTCCATAAGTTCAATATTACATAAACTCGAAATTTTAAGATGGAAATATTCGTCTTGCTAGTAAGTACTTGTTAAGTTGTAGAATTATTTCATTTTTATAAGAATAATGTTCACAAAGGTTAAGCAGTATTTAGATCATACGATATCATATCATCCAGTAGATTGATAATTATTGGTATTATTCATGATTTCGGTTGAGGAACTATCTGTTATCATACAGTTCGTAATGATCAAACTATTCAATGATGCACGAGCTTCTTTGCTATGCCTGTAGCCGTATAGTGCGTAGAGTATTATTCCTGAAATTTATAATTGTTTTAAATTTCTGATATAATCGATTAACCTACAAGAAGACGTTTATAATATCGAATTTCTTACTGAGAAGATAAACAATATGAAAGTTTGTTCAATTATTGCTTTTGTAATCATAAGTTTAGAGTTTGAATTATATTAAAGCTGAGTTTTTGTTTGAGATATATGTTTGAATTTAATTCACATTTCTCATTTTTCACATAATCAAATTTTTAATTTGTAAAAGACTAAAAATAAAAAGACTAAACTTGCTAACCAACAACAATCCAAGCGATAAATTCGATAACTGTGATGTAATCAGTAGTGCAAGCTATCAGTGTAGCCAGAAAGATTGTAAAAAGTGTAAGGTACGGGAATACAGGTGTTTTACAGCTTCGCTCATTGTTCATCGGATTAATTTTTTGTTGGGAACTATTCATTACGAGACATCCCAAAGCAAGACATGCCAGTAATACTAGCAAGATTGAATAGAGCTAGAAATTAATTTCAAAATCTAATTTATTTATTCTGTAAAAAATTTAAAGCACATGCTTGCACTGCAAGCGAACGTTTCGAGTGCAAATTGAGAGGAGGAAGGATGGATTATAAAAAAAGAATTATTTTTTAAATTCATGATTTAAATGAATTTTTTTAACTAATTCATAGGACTGTAATTGTTCAATTAAATTCTTTCTTCCAAATAATTATTCAAAATTCGAGTGATGAAAGAAAGTATTTAGAAAGGTTTAACATTCTAATGAATTATTGGTTAGTTTTTTTACTATCTTTCCTCATTTTTTTTCTTCAAAATTAATGAAAGATTGAACCATTGAAAGAAATTCTCTTTCAACAATTAATTAATTAATTCACGTATTTATTGAAAGAAGTATGGAAATCTCACAGATAGCTGAACAAACATACCTTTGTTAAGCCGCTTTCTGTTTTTAAGATCAGAAATCCAATAGTTACGGAAATTACAAAGAAAAGTGATAAAGTTCTCAATGAACGTTTATAGTCAGTTTTGTCAAAATTCTCCGAACTGTCCATCGATCCAGGATAATTGGTCCAATATGCCAATTCCGGAATGTCATGTTCAAAAATGTGAAATTTATGCTTATTGATATCAGCTAAAACAAACTAATACTTCTTTTTTTCTCTTAAAATAGAAATGAAAGTTGAAAAACAAAAAATTATAAATTTAAAAGCGCAAATAAAATTATTAAAATTTCGAGGTATTTAAATTGAAATTTGCAATTTTATGTAATTGCTTGTAAATGGCACTATCAAACATTTCACAGAAGATTGAAATTAATAAGAAATCTTGGCTAGTCTTTTACGAATACATTAATTGCCACTCAGTTAATTAGCTTGAAAAAACGATACCTAATGCTACTTGTTATGTAAAATGGAGATAGAAGTAAAGAAAAGAAGTTGGAGAAACTTTTCAGACTGTTATAAAGTTGCAATAAATCAACAGCTGAAAACTTAAAGGTTAAAAAAACTCTTTATTCAAATACTCAGAGATTTTTTGGGTTTTAGTCATAACTTGAAAGTAAATATTATAAAAAAGATACCTACTTGTAGCATTAACGCAAGGTGATCTGATACAGTTATGACCAAAGTGATAACTACTATCAAGTGATAACAGTGATGGTCGTTTTCGATCCTTGCAAAATTTCGTCGTCGTTTCCTTCAGATTTTCCGTTAACGATTGCGACTGAATCAATTTCAGATTCTTGGAGAAAACTTTAAAAACTAATTGGCTTAACACTTCAATATATTAAATTTCAGCTAAGTTGAATTCAAATAGCATGCTAATAAAGCAAACTTTCTTATTTGCATAGTTATTCTTCATCTTTGAATTAAAAACTGAATCAATGATTATTTCTCATTTAACTGCGATGAAGTACAACAACTACTATTTACTCAATGAAACTATTCTTTAAAAATAAAATGTCAAGAAAAGAAATATATTTTTAAAACAAAATGTTGTTATTGAAAAAATGTAAGTGCATGAATAGTAAATTTTGGTAAGCAAAAATTTCAAAAATTTAATTATGATCAAAGTAAAATACGCACATTTTTGAATGTATTGTATTGAGAACCAATAAATGACCTTTTCGCCAAAATTCTTTCACTTAGCTTTTTGTCCACTTCTTCGGAATTTGATAACATTCCCAAATTTTCATTTATTGATGGTAGCTAAAAGATCAGGAAAATAATAAAAAAAGAACAATTTTTAACAGATATTTCAAGATTCGCCGATTTTACGTTAAAATCATGCAAGTAATCACGCAAGAGACGTAACAGACGTGTATTATTGTTTTCCTATAATGTCTTATATTTAATGTTCATGAATTTTATGACTCTGTTATCCAAATTATTCATATTTTAATTTGAAAAAATAAATTTTTCACAGTCATAAATTATCATTCGCAGCTATTATCTAATGATTTATTATGCAAATGTAAAATTAACATGCTTTTTCCAGCCATTGATTACATTGTGCTTCTTGTTGAGCTATGATATTTTGTAAAATTTCATGACCGCTTATCATTTCATTGCTTTCATCATCTGTACTCCATCTATAAATTAAAAGAAAATTTTTCGGATGGAAAAAGCTAAGTGAAGTTCAATTTTTATGCAAAATTATAACTCTTTTACAAATAAAACAAAATACAATAAATGATTGGAAACTTATAGCTTTAGTAGAAGTTCTATAAATAAGGATAAATGAGATGATGAAATAAAATGATCGTTTTAAATAATTAAATATTGAAAAAGCACTCACTATAATTGTATTATAATGAAGAAAAGGATGATATTGATAGTGATATGATATAAATTTACTTGGAAAGAGTAATTGATGATGTTGAATCTTTATCATTTGTAGAAATATATGAATGCATTCTATATCGTTTATGATGAATAACACGATAAAATGCTGTTTCACGAAGTAATCCAACAATATTCGGATTATATCGTTGATTGTATACCAAACAAGCCTAAATAATAGCTGTATAATTAATTGGAATTTATAAAAAAACAACCTAATAATACTTGAAATCTTACGAGTAATATTAGCCTTAATGGAGTACTGAAAGCAATAATTGCAAATAATTTGACGGTGTTGAGAATGATAAGTGAAGATGAGAGTAGAGCGCATAATAGAACTGCATGATACGGTACACCTCTCTTCTTGCTCGTATGAGAGAGTAAATTTAGTGGAAGTAAATTATCGCCACAAAGTGATGCTAAAATTCTTGTTGCTGGCACAAATATTGCAAGCATTGTTCCGGATAAGCCACAAACTGATCCAACTGTCATCACATATCTTTAAAAGGAAAAGCAAATAGAAAATTTACTATACGGTGTTATCATATCAAGATATGACATGATAACACCGTATATTATCATATCATCTCATATCATACGTTTATCATATGGTACGAATGATGATTGTCTATCAAAATTAATCATGTTTTACTTTAATTCTTTGCAATCTTATCCTAATTTCTGGGAATTAATGAATGAAAATTTTTTGAAAAATTTATTTTACATTATTTTTAGAAATTTAAAAAACTAATTTTAAATTTCGATTTTTAAAAGTTTTTTTTTTAATAGAAAGGATAGAGTAAGTGTAAATCGAAAAAATGTCATAATGGAATTGCGAAATAACAATTCGTTCTGCTTTGTTATTTCGTAATAATTATTTTCCATTATGACAAATTATTTAAATCATTCTCGAAAATAAAACTAACAAACATATTTAAACAGTACTTCGCGGAGGGTATCCCAAGTTTATCAAAAATATCTGGAAAAAGCATATCGTTGGGATATGTTGTGATATCAGCAACCAATGTAATCACCATTGTTGTTAAAAACATAATTAATGTTAGAGCGGTAATTATAAATGGCATGATAAGTGGAAGTCGTTTCCGTGGATTTTTCGTTTCTTCCAATAAAAAACTGAGTGTTTCAATACCAATAAAAGTACATAAATAATTTGATGCACCTTTTAGCATCTATAATTATCATATTTTTATCATTGATAATGGCAATTGACGAACAAGCAAAACATTACTTCAATTACAAAAAAGAATCCGATTACCACCTAAATTATTCATGAAATTTAATTTAAATCCGGTTACCATTTAATTATTCATGAAATCTAGGTTAAAATTAATGAATATGAGAAATTTTAACAAAAAAAAAACTCTCCTTACATTTCTTCTTTTAATTTCTGCTCATGTACAATTAAATGCGTAATCGAAAACATGCCGAATTTAGCTATGATAATGCCATCTTTGAAAAATTGGAATTGCAATTATTATAGTTGAAAAAAAAAGAATTGCAAATTAAATTTCAGTGATGATAATTTAAACAGCAAACTGGCAACATACACCGATAGTGCCATCTTTGAAAAAGCCAGCAGCCAACCAATTATTTGGATCAGCAAAATAGAAGCCAACAAATGCGGTACTATTGGTTGCCAAGGCACATATAGTTACCATTATTATCGATACGGTAGTCAACACCTGTTATTTTGGCCGAAGTGTAAACACTTCTCTGTTTTAAATTTTATAACTTTAAAAATTTCTATGCCTTTTTCCATCAAATGCTTTCAAATGAGACAAATACAAATTGAAAGAGAATTGAATTACTTACTCGAATGCTACAGCATAATATGATTGATGCACAAAAGATGGCTAATACAGCAAAGAAATCTATTTTTGTTGCAAAAATTGAACCCAAATGATACGGCATTTCAATCGTGAAATGTTTATCAAATAGTCCATGAAATAATAAATTCTGAAAATTATTGAATTCAAATTTAAATTTGAAATGAATGTATAAAATGCATTTACTTGTTTATATGCTTTATTTTTTTTTCGCTTTATTTCATACACTAATTATATAATTATTGAATTTTAATAGTTCTATTTAGTTTAGTATTTGATATTTGATTACTTAACGGTTCTATTTTTAAGCAATACTCAAAAGATGAATTAATGAAGTAAAACAGTACCATATGACTGCTCCAATTTTTAGCTACAATAACAATATAAATGATAAAATCGAGTAATGATATCCAACCAACCAGAAAGGCTGGTACTTCACCAAAACTAGCATATGTAAAATTGTACAGTAAGCAACTTTTTGGCATTGAACACATTAATTCATTCATATGCATCCCTGAAGACATCAATTAATTCAAATCATTTTCTGCTATTCCTTTCGAGGTTCAAAATTTTTAAAATGCATCATTTAGAAAATTAAATGTTATAATTTTCTGTAATCATTGTTACGAATAAAATTGAGTATAATTTAACATTTCAAAATTTTCGCGGCATATTTTACTTCAGAAAAAAAGTGTTAAAACATTTAACATTTTAATGGCTTTCAATTTAATGTAACAATGTCACTAGCGCAGACGGCAATTGATCCAAAATTAGACTACGATCTTTTTTTTTAAATTTATTTTACTTTTCAGCTTCTTTTAAATTTGCTTCATTTCTATCATTTTTTCAAATTTTATGATTTAATAAAAGTAATTATAACCGGATAAGATCATAATGATGAAGGCAATTAATAATGAGAGTAATGCTGAAGGTCCAGAAACATTCATCACCACATACGGAGTAATGATGAATATACCGAAGGGTATTGTCAGAATAGAAGCTGTAATTCATACTTCATATATGCGCTATTTAACTTTTAAAAATTATTTGAAAAAAAAAGAACAGAACAGAATGAAATTGATATTAAACATTTAAATTTTATTAGCACAGTTAATAATTATAATTGTTAGATGATAAGTGAGCACAAATTTTAATAATAATGCTTCTTTTTCCGCTTGTCATGATACAACTGTGATAGAATTTCTTGAAATAGTAAAAGAATGGATGAGATCAAAGGTGAAAGGTAAAAGTGAAGTGATTGTTCAAATTTATATGGTACAATCAATCTGGTAATTGTTTCTACCGCTGCAGAAAAAAGAGACCGAAACCGAAATGAAATTAATAGAAGAGAATGATTCAAACAAAAAGTCGTAAACATTTGTTTTGAGAGATTTCATTAGTTTATAAAATTTTTATAAAAATATTTTGTTGATAGATTTGTCACATCATGTCACATCTATCATCACTTCTGTTTCAATTATTAAATTTTGTGCTTCATATTTTTTCACTCTAAATTTACAACTATGCAAAATTGTAGCTCATAAAATGTTCCATTAATTTTCGACATAATGTTTTTCATTTTTTCTTTGAAAAATTTAAACGATGAACATTAACCAATTCCAATCAATGATGGTGTCCGAAGTTTACGGATCCATTCAGAATGTTCCAAAAATTCATTGTCTACTGTTTTGTATCGATTCAGGAATGCAATCCGGTCAGAGGTCATCTTTTTGCTAAAACAAAAACTAATACTTCATTGATTATCGTATTATATCAATTGCTTTTTAACATTAAAGATTTGTTTGTTGCAAAAGAATTGATAATATACACATTCAGTGATCTACATTGATAAGATATATCGGCATGATGCTATTAGTGGAATTAATTGGTATGGACTTTTCAAATTTTCACATCTGCAAAATGAAATTTTTGAAAATTTTTCAGAAAAATTGCTATTTATGTAAAAACAACAACAACAAGGAGCTTTAAAGTTTGGAATTTAGTAAAAGAAGAAAAAATTAAGGAGAAAAATTCAAGATTTATTATTTTAGAATATCCATATATATTATATATATATATATATGTAAGAATTTCGAGAAATATTGTTGAATGTATGTTGAAAAGCAAGCTGAAAATGAATCGTTGCAAGCGCTTGCATTTTCACTAAATGGGCACACATTTGAAAATCACAAAATGCCATAAACTAATTTCCTTCAATCAACGTAGCTTCTCTCATTAGGCCTACAAATTTAATTTTCAAAAAGTGGAATTTAAGCATGAAAAGATAAAACAGTAATGAAGAAAGAAAAAAGAGGAGAAAAAGATGATGTTGATGATCTTTAATTTATGCATGGAAAGTATGAACAGAGGTTAAATTTGAAGACATATCTTTGAAATAACAAACAAAGACAGACAGAGAGAGAGAGAGAGAGAGAGAGAGAGGTGCAAATAAACCTTTTTATAAAACTATAAGTTCCCTTCTTTTTAGTTTTATTTCTTTTAATGATGAAATGCTATTCAATTAGCGTTTTTGGATTCAGAGAAAGAAAAAAAAAGACGGAAATAAATTAGAAATGTATTAATCTTGTGGGACCAGAAAAATAGTGGGCAGTCAAAAATGAAGATTTTTTAAGAGAGAAAAAGAGAGAGAAGAGATGGAAAAAGGGATGAAGTGCCTCAGACTGTGCAGCAATTCGGATTAATCTTAATTCGCTTCTTCGAAAGAAATTTGTATGTGTTCGTTTGACTCTTCTTATCTTCAAAAATTTTTTCGGAAAATTTCACGGACAATCTTGCAAAAAAAGAATGGCAATATTTCTACAGTAATCTCAAATTTCGAGATTAACACTAGCAGTAATAATGTTATAATTGAATCTGCATAAAACCAATTGCGTTATTTATTAAGTATTTAAAATCGGAATCTTGCAAATAAAAAAAAAATAATATTTTATTTTCATTAATTCATTTGAAAATTTAAAACATTTACGAAATGGAATGAATGCATTTTTACGATTCAAAGCAAATCTCACTTAAAAAATTTAATAATTTAAATCAATTAAGACCATAAGTTATTGCTGATTTCTTCAATTCAAATTTGTTTATCTTAATTCATCTAAAACTTGTTAGCAAATTGCACATGATCTGATGTTAATCAATATAATGTCAATTTTTGTAATTTTTTTTCATAAATTTTATAAATTTTAAGCATATTTTGATATTAGTTTAGCATTTTATAAAATTCAATTTGAATGTTACAATTTGGATAAAAATAAAATTGTCAAATGATCGTTGCAGATGGAACAACAATACACATTTATTTACTGAATAAAGCGCTTAATGTAATGCTTTCATTTGAAGCAGTCATATTTATTGTTGACATAAATGAAATAAATGATTTACTGGCAGTAAATTTTATTTCTTTCTTATAGCCAATTTTTTTTTGTGCGGAGAGGGGGAGGGGGACTTTAATCAAAACAACTGAATTTTTTCTCCTCTTTTTTTTCATCCTTTCTTGTCGTTAGGAAGCATTCAAAAATTTATTTTGAATATGTCACAGCTGAAGTTCACTAAACACTAACGATGTTATTTCACTCAATTCCTTTTCTCACACCACCAATCATCAAAAAAGAAATGTATCGATAAAAAAAAAGTTGTCTTACATGGAAAGAGCTTTGCTGAAAACTGTTCGATGCGTTTTCGATCTTACATCGACCCCATTTCATTTTGCTTTTCCATACATTAAAAAGCGTTGCCTTCAAACAAAACTTCATCGATAATTTGTTAACTTTTCTTCTTTTTGCTGCAGGAAGAAAAAATGAATTTTCTTTAGATGAATTGACAAGAAAGTACTGAAAATAAAAATGACTATTGGCGAAATATTTTTAATCGGAATTAAAACTTAAATTGACAATAATTGATATTAAAAAAAAGAGAACTTTAAATTTTATCAGATAATAACTTTACGGATACTTATTTAGATTGGAGGACGTCAAAACGAGTCGAAGATCGAACATTTATTTTTCTGAAGAACCGAAAAATTCAATAAATTGCATTTTTTTTTTTTAAAAAAAAAAGATTATTTGAACTTTTGAGAATAATTCACAATTTCCCACAAAATATTTTGCGGAGCTTTGGAATTTATTTGATTTCCTCATGATGAGTACTATTTCAAAATTGTTCAATTAAAGCAATTTTAAAAAATGACAAAAGCAAAATTCACATTCAAACAATGTTATTTTGAATGCATTTTGACGTCATTTATCCAAACTTTCATAAAACTTATGCCTAATTTTGTAAACATCTATACAAACTATCAAAATTGTTGTTTGTATAATTAGGTTTGATGATGATTATCATCATCCCATCAACATTAATGATAAGTTTTTGTTAGGCAAATTTTCATGCAAACTGCATAATTCAATTTTTTTAATTCAGAAAATTAAATTTTAATCTTTTACCCTTATAAATGACGACATTGTGCATATTTTCTTTGCTTTTTTTTCAGTTTTAACTTTTCAACTAGTACTTTTTGCCATTTAATGAAGATTAATTGTTAATAAGGTCTGTCAAAGCTTTACTTTTACAGGTTTGAATCAGAACATTGAGAATAACTGTAAAGAAGGAAGGAAAGCACTTTGAGCGAATATTGTCATGGGATGTCACATTCATTTTTACTTATCATATTTATCATTCAAATTTCTTTCAACACATAAAGCAAATTGATGTTAACACCGAAAATATGTTTACAACTTTATTACACGCAATAAAAATTTTATGAGACAGAAATCACTCCAATTCAGACATTTTTTTCTCAGTATTTGACAGACTTCTTCCGATTGCATTTTCCGCATCTAATGATAACACCGATATAAATAAATTTTGGTCGATGTTTAGCATTATTCTGAAGTCATCCTAAAGCATTATTTATTAATAATCATTCAAGTAAGTTAAAAGTAAGCTAAAATGAACAAAGTTTGTTCCAGTTATAATGAGAACAAAATGGAATTGTTGATCATAATTGTCTTGTGAGTTTTCCTAAATTTTAAGCTATTTATTTTTTTAAAAAGAAAAAAGAATTGGAATTTAAAGTTTGTTTGTTTGCTTTTCGAAGCACTAAAGTCAGAATTAATTAATAGACTAGTAGCCAATTATCGCAGATTATTTATCGATTTAACAAAATTTTCTTTAATTATTTTCTAAATTGAAAGAATTTAGAAATAAATTTATTGGGGTTGCAGCGAATTTTAAAATGTTAAATTTTAGACACATCAACATCCAAAAAATATTAATCCGGAAAATATTAACTTTATCCAGTGAAGAAAGGAATTCATGTAAAGTGTTCTATTCAAAAAAAAAAAAAAAAATAGCCATAGAAATCAGTTATGAATTTTAGAGAGAGGAACATTATAAATTATGTCGACGCAAAAAAGTGCACCTACCATATTGGCGTAAATGTGGCGCATATGTGCATCTAACATCAAATAATATTCAGATCATAAATGAGAACATATCATTTGTCGTCGATCGGATTCACCTGAGAGATCAAAGTAGAGGTATTTGGGTGGATAAAAGAGAAGGTAGGAATTGTAAAATAATTAATGATTTCATTAACTTGATCATTCTGGTTTGTTTCATTTCATCGCACATTGTCTATTGAACAAAGTTATTCTTGATTTCCTTTTCGAATTGGATGAATTTAAAAATGAAATTTTTTTGATAATGCAACCAGATATATTTTTTTAAAAAATATACCAGCAATCTTCAAATGATGATCATATAAATGTGGATACGATTAACCATCTTTTGATTTTGTTGCAACATTTTCAAAATTCCACTTGCATTTCATTGTTGAAACTGTCTTTTCGTTTTATACTATAATGATTTAAAAAATGATTTAAATGACTTTCACAATGATTTAAATATTTCTATATAACGTACAATTTGAAAGAAAAAGAAAAGAAAATAGAAAAAAGTTGAATCTTTAAAAATTCATTTAATTAAATATCGATTATCATTTAGAAATAATTCGATAATAGCTACTTCGATGATCCAATATAATCAATCACGATAATCACCATTAAATTCTAACTTCTCTTTTGCTCTTATCAATGATCTTCCCTGAAATAAAATAACTGAATGGCTCACTATCCTTTAAAGTTTTAAATTATGAATTTAAAAAAAAAAACGAAAATAAAATTGATGCATTTGCAATAAAAACTTATGCAAGAAAATTTAGTTGCTGAGAGATAAGGAATTTGCAAAATCCATGAAGAAAAATTGCGAAGAATGACTTTAAAAATAATATTTCGTTTATGAATCGATTTGAAAATTTCATTCTAATAATCCGCGAGCTATTTATTAACTTTTTGATTAATAGAAACTCATTTTTCAGTTCAACTGTTGCATTGTTTATTTAGAAAAAAAAACGATAATAAATTGATATAACAAATATTACGAATAAAATAGCAATACTAAAATTTGGCTAATTTTTATACTAACTCTATCATTCCTCACCATTGTTGCAACTATTATTTCTGTATTTTTAAATTTTCATAAATCAGACTTTTCCTTTTTTTTAATTTTATGTTTTTTTAAACTTCAACCCTTAACAATTTAGAAATTTCGAATTTTTCAAAAACAATCTGTTTTTTTCTTCTATTCCTATATTCATTTAAATTAACTCACAGCTGTAATACAGCAATGGTCAGCAACAAATATTTTCAGATTTTACACAAATAACCGGTATCACCAACTAAACCTTTTTAATTCGCTGAATTCTCACAAAAAAAACCGAAAACTATCGATACAATGATTTGCTGCAATGCATGCTACTATACTTTTATTTAATTTAATTAACATTACTAAATAACAAGTAATACAACAAGTTTTTAAAAGCCAACAAAATTTGTTTGAACGGGAAGAGATACATTATCATCGGTGCGCAATGCGTCATGAACAGTCAACCATTTTATTTCAATATGATTTGGTGAACATTTCGCGAAGTTCAAAAAAAATAAATGACGCAATGAAAGAGATTTCTGCAAGAATTTAAGGTAGAAATGAATGGAATGAAATGATACTGAAAATTTGTCAGTGTTGAAATTTTAAGTACAACATTTAACTAAACAGGCATTTAAGGAAAATTAATTAATTATCTTCAAGTGAAAATTGCTGTAGATAAATAATAAGTGTTTAAAAGAGATAGAAAGATTGAATTCCATGATAATTTAATGAATTGATCATAATTTCGATTTTTTTTCTTCTTTTTCGACGAGAAAAATTGTTTTCATGCATGCAATTGAGAAATATGTCAATATGAATAGTACAAATGGAACTCTTCTTTACCTGAAGAATATTGAGTAAAAGAAAATGATTAATTGATGAAATTATCACTGCTACCGTTCCTGCTGATGATTCATTTACTTAAAGAAAAACATATAAAATGTCCTTTTTAGTTTTACCCAGCAATCAGAGCAGTAACATTAACACAACCCAGTCATTTTTTCTTTTAATTGACCCAAACACAACTTACTTTTTCCTTTTATTTCTAATATATCTCATACTTCCACGTATTTTACTTATTTTCATTTACAGGTAATCTCAAAAATGAAAGCATTCGTAATTGCTAGCTTACTTATTTCATGCGCTTTTGCTCAGCAACAACAGCAACAACCACAGCTACAACAGCAACAACAATTTCCAGTACCTCCATTTTTGATTGGTGCATCACCAAAAGTTATCAGTGAATTTCAGCAGCTAATTAATAGCGGTAGACAACGAACTGATCGTGAAATGGAGCAGGCAGTTGAATCATGGATTGCACAACAGAGTCAAAAAATTCAAGTTAGTAAATTGATTTTAAATTCAGCATAAACTCATTAGATCAAACCGATCAATCGGTTTTCGAATTAAATTGATAAAAATCTTGGAATTAACAACAATTTAACTTATAAATAAGTCATCAAATTTGCAGGTCTCTTTTCAAAAATTCAAACAGCAAGCATTAAATGCTTTACAACAAGCTGAAGCACAACATCAAGCATCTGCAGCAAAATTGTCACCTGAAGCAAGAAGAGTTGACGCACAATTAAGCTCCATTGCTAAGAGCGTTTCATTGACACCAATGCAGAAACAGGAGCAAATTGACATGATCATTAGCAGTAAGGCTCTTTTTGTTTCTTATAACTATTCAAAAAATTCAACACTTTTAGACATATATTCATACTCCCAATTGGCGCAATTTCTCCTTGCAAGGACAAATTACAAGGCCAATTGGGAGTCTTTCATCTTTAGGCGTCCCTAATGGATACGAACTCTGCGATTCATTTTTTTTCATCTTTTTATGTTACATACTTCTTTCATTTTATTTTCCATTCATCCGTCGAAATGCTTTAACATTCCAGAGCTTCCGGAAAATGTCAAACAGGAATTGCAGCGAGCAATTCAAGGCTAAGAAGAAAGAAGATATTATTCATTTATTATCAATAATATAAAATTCATTAATCATAACTATTCAAGTAATATTTTATATGATTTCTCCATTAAATAAATTTTTTTTAGTTATTTATAAAAAAAAAAACATTTCCGTGTTCAATAAATGATACCAACAGCAATAGTAAAAATTTGTTAAATAATAGAGAATTGAAATCTATGCGATTGTTTATTGTTTTATTTCAATTGTCTCCACAAAAATTTTGATATTATTCTAAAATTCATTGAAACAAAATGCAGAAAAATGAAAAATTTTTAGCACAAATAATTAAGAATTGATTGATGCTACACCAAAAGTTTTGCTTCTAATTTATTCAAATTTAAAATTTTATTTTGTGACTAACAATCTTTTGTACTTTGCCCGAAAAAAAATTTTTAATAAACAAAAGATCGGAAACGAAGGAGACGAATGAAAAGCAAGAAAATGTAAAATTGTCATTTTATTTCAAAACGTTTTACAGTGTATAAATCAATGAATGTCCAAAGTTTGTAAAAAAAAAAAGCAAAAAAAAAAGAAAAACTTCAAAAGTCGATAAATTCTGCATAAAAATTCTATGCATCAATATTAGCAGTACAAAATTTGATCATTTTCATTATTTCCCACCAAATTTTTTTCCTCTCCACCTCTTTTTTGTTTTCTTAAAACGATAACTGTTTAAAACAGTCCAAGCAAGCAACATTTCAAATAATGTATTTGTATGAATTTATTAATTCAATAATCAACGAGTGTATGCTACAATTTCTGTTTTTGTATTTTTTCGTGAAAAATTTACATGAATTCTTTTTTTGCTTGAACAAGTAAATAATAATGAGAATCACAGTGGATCAATGTCATCCGGTCATTCTTTGCATTTTTCATTGGTCATCTTCATGGACAACATCAGTGTGTAATTGTGGTTTAATTAGAAATTATCTGCTTCATCGTTATATATTTTACAAAATTTTCATGAAATAAGCCCCAAGCTAAAGTCTAATTTAAAAAGTAGCGAAATATTTGTCCAATAGTACGCTAAAATTTTGGTCACTCTCTTGCACAGATGTCAACAAATGATCTCATTTTAAACTATCACAAAATTCTTGCTGCATTATACTAAAAGTAATTTTTGAAAGCTATAATCAAATTTGAATTGCATTCGTAAAATCTCTTAATTTATATATTCTTGTTAATGAAATTAAAAATAGCAGCTTGAAATCTGCAGATTTATTTTGGAATTTTGGTTGATGAAAAAGATGAAATTTGTTTTATTTGTCATATTATGTCATATTATTATTATCGTTAGTCTGTGCTGTACATGGCGACAATGAACAATATTTTATGCTTACACCATTTTTATTGGGTGAACCGGAATCGGTGATTGAAGAGATGAACGAATGTCGACAAACCGGATTTTCAGGTGGAAGAAGCAGTAGAAGAGTGGGTGAAAGCTAAAGATAATGTGATTGAGGTATGATCGAATGCGAGATTTCATTCAAACGCAAAAAATATTTTTAAATGTAGCACAAATTGCGAAAGGTATTATAAGTAAAATTGAATTATTGATAGAGGAAAAGACTTTAAATGTAGCACAAAATCTCATTGATTTCTTCTTTTCCTTATAAGTGATTATCATCATCCGTATCACTGTTGTAAAATGTTTTATTTCGGATCGAAAAAATGCAATAAAAAAGAGATGCTCAAAATTTTTCGAATTTAAAAGTAAATTTTGAAATTCATTTTACATTTTTTATCTTTAACTTTAGAAATAAAGAATTTGAATATGATAATTGTATAGCAATACAGAAAAGGTCTTTTCTTTTTTTTTTTAGGTCTTTTCATAAAAATTCCTTTTTGGTTATTAAACATATTTTTATTTTCTTCTAAGAAGCATTTGCAAATACCTTTAGCAATTACTTATCATTTGAAAATTATGAATTTTTATGAAATTTTTTTTATAAATTACGAATTATGAATTTTTTCATTCAATATAAAATCAAAATAACTGATGTTATTTAGCAAATTAAAATTTTAATCTTATTGCTCTAATTTTTATACTAATCATTCAGTTCTTTTCACTAAATTTTTAGGAAAAATATAATCAATTTAAAACCAACATGCAATTATTGAATGATAAGGTAACTTTATTGTAAGGAGCGGTGATAGAAAGTTTATCTCCAGAAACAAAAAAAAGTTGATATGGATTTAACTGATATTGGGAAAGATAAAACATTATTTGCGCAATCGAAAAGAGAGAAACTTAAAAACTTGAAAATTTTGAAAGGTAATTATTTTTTTTAAATACAATTTACAAAATAAATTTATACTGCACAAGAAGCCTCAGAAAGGTAAAAAATTTGCAACAATAAAAAAAAATTAAGCTTTTATTTTGCTGTTATTAATCATTTTAGATTATTGTTAAAATTTATTACTACTTCTTTTCATTTCCAAATTTCAGATTTCCCTTCAACAGTCAAAAATGAATTGCGAGCAATATTATTTTATGCTAAATTTTAAAATAAGCGCGAGTTTATGCTTTCATGTATTGCAATGTAAGCAATCGGAAAATGATATTAAACTAGTTTTTGCGCACATTTACATTCTGAATCATACGAGAAAAACCTGACATACGGAATGATGATGTGCTTATGAATATTTCAATAAATTCATTGAAATTTTCAAATAGCGGAATTTAATTCATCAGTGTTAAAAGCATGAAAAATAAATTCTGAAGCTGAAATTAACCTTTAAAAATCATCTCATTTTTGTTTTTAAGTGAAATCCCGTCAGGATAAGATAGTGCAGTATGAGTTTCTAACTTTGAAATGAACTGAGAGAGAGAGTTTTGAGAGGTATCTATAGAATAAATAAATAGTAATAATTCTAATAAGTCATTTAAATATATTTCAATTAAATATTCGATAAAATGAATGCCATGCGATATTTCACAAAAAAATTTTCACAGTTTTTGATATTAGTCTTTATATTATTATCATAAATTTTGAAGAAAATGCATTTTTTGAATATTTCTTTGGATTGAATAAATTAACAAAGTTGCATTTAATATCACTGTGATCATTTTCATTCCCATTTTTTAATTCCAGTAATTTTGACAAAGTTTTACGAATGAGAAAAAATAATTTTATCGTTAACTTGCGATATATTTCTTAACAAAAAAAAAAAAAATTATTCGTTAATTATTTTGTCGAAAGATTGTTAATGAGATGTGTTGCTTTGTGGCCGTGTTCGAAGTGATTTCTGATAACGAATAAATGTATGAGTTTGATGCATGCCAGAAGAACCAGTTCCAGTATATCAGCACGTTTTGACAAGTGATTTTTGTAAAGTGAATTAATCATTAATTTTAACGTAAATTGCTGTATGCAGATGCCATATCATACAGTCGTAATTAGTTTAATAAAATCTCGCATTTAATTTTAGTGCTAATTTAAAATGGGCTATGACGAAAACTTTTAAAATTTTTTAACTTCTGAAGCATAACTTAAAACATCGTTATAAATAATAACCCAAACATGACCAGGAGATTCTATTTTTTATTGCAATTATCATTTCTTTTAAGGGAAAAAAGAGCATTAATTTATAGTCCAAATAATTAATTTATGATCGAAAAAATTTTTTACAAGTTTGATAATTGCGAAATAATTGACCTTGGACTGTCACATCAAATGTGATGAAAGAGAATAACCGTAGATAGTTCTTAATATTTGCTCCCGGAACTTTTTTGTTTTTTCAATCAAAAAATTTTCGCATTATTGATTTTTGCTCGATTTAATTTAAAATTATAAAAAAAAATCTAACAATGTAAGTCATATATCATCTTCGTTGCTTATTATTATGTGCCAATAACATCGCATGTCAAAAATTAATATTATCAAAAATTTTTAATAAATGCTTCTTACTACTAAAAATGCAACCCTTATTATTTGACAATGAAACAAACAGAATTAACTCATTAACAGACCTCATAATTAGTAATGATTTTCTGAAATGAGTTGATTCATTTTATAGAAGATGCACAAAAAAAAAAACTTTCCTATATTCAGAAAATACATCAAAATGCTTAAAATGATAATTTTTCTTTTCTCTGCCGATCTTTATAAAAATCAGATACTAATCATAAAACAGCATTGAAAAGAAAGGCATACCAAAAGAAAAAAAAATTCAACAATGTGGAAATGACCAGTTTGAAAGTAGATTATTAGTCATCGAACTAATTAGTCTTTTATTATACTGCCATCTTTTATACGTTTACTTTTTCACTCGACAATTGTATCATTTGTTTAAAAAAAAAAAAAACTAAAATTACATAAAGAAATGGTATGTGTGACATATATTTAATGAGATAAAATAGTCAATCAAAAATGGGTGGAGAAATTGAGAAGAAAGAAAAAAAGAAAGAAAAAAGTTACGCCTTTGAAACTTCATTCTTTTATCACTTCCATATTACCGCTTTTAATGAATCCCTCCCTTTCCTCCATTCGCTGACATTTCACCCCACCAATATAAAGCAACCAACTTTATATATTATAGTTAACTCTCAATTAAAGCCAATAAGAAGGACAGAAGGAGTATAGTTAATCGACGACATCTTCCATCAAAATGAAATATTTTATTTCACTTTCAATTGCTCTGCTAGCAGGAATAACAACAGCTCAACGAGCTGTACCACCTCAACAATCTCAAGAAGGGCAACAAACTCAACAGCCAATTCCAGAACTTCCACCATTTTTGGTTAATGCACCTCGTGAGGTGGTGAATCAGTATCTCGATGTGATAAAAGGTGCCGATTTAAAAAGTAACAAACAAATTGTGGATGAAATCGACGAATTAATGCATAAACTTGGTGGCACTTATCTTGTTCGTTTCATTAAAAATATATGAATGTATTGAAAATAACAAATCTAATAGTTTCATATTCTTTTTTCTAATAGATCTAACAATCTAATTTCATTTTTTTTTCTGGAATGATCGATCTGATCTAGGCGTTTTTTTAATGCTTGTTTAAATGTAATTATTATCTTTGTTAATTTAAAATTAGATCAAATAGTTATGAATTTATACATTATACTTTTATCCTTCTTTTGCTTTATGTTGATTTTTCTTTTAGGAATTAAATTCTTCACAGTGAATAATTTCAGACTGAACATGAGAAGTTGAAGAAATTAGAAGAGAAGGAAAAAGCTGAATATGATAAAATTCATGATCAAGTGGTAGCGAAATTTTCACCGGCAGCAAAAGAAGCTGATGCTAGGATGACTGCTATTTTTAACAATTCAACGCTAATCAATCATGTAAAAGAAGAGCAGATCCAAGCCATCATGAGCTGTAAATTTTTTTTTTCATAATTTATAATTATTTTGAAATGATTAAGAAGAGATTAAAGAGTTCAAAACTGTTAATTCCTTATTATTTTAAAATTTTCAAAATATTTTTCAGTGCATACGATATGTTGATCCTTGAAAATTTGTTTTGCATATGAAATGACAAACAAGTTTGTAACATAATTTTTGCTTTAAACTTTAATACACAAATTTGTTTGTCAGATGGGAGAGAGCTTCGCAAACATTAAAAACTGGAATTATAAATTCCTTAGAGATTGAATTGAAATTGAAATTGGAAACAAATTTGGTTTAAAAATTCATTGCCTTTTTCCAAAATTAATTTTTGCTTTAAATTAACTATTTCATTAGTAATCCTAAATTATATTGAAAGTAATTTTTCAAATTTGCTTTTAACAAATATTTGATCCAATTGTTACTTTATAAATTATCTGAATCTGTAAACAGGACAGCAGTTTTTAGTTTTTCAAAATTAAAAAGCTAAAAAATTACTCACTAATTAATCTTGAAAAAAACAAACACTCTTACTTAGACAACCATAATTAGTAGAATCCATTCTTTGAAATTCTAAACCTTCCAATTTTATATGTTGAAATTTTTGCAGCATTGAGCGAAGACGTTCGAAAGGAGATCATTGAAGGATTTAATACAAAATAAATATTATACCATTGGCTATCAACTATAAAAACTATGATTTTTTCACCAACAATGAAAAGGAATCATATAAATGTGATAAAATAAATTTTGCTGTCAATATTGGTATCGAATATTTATGTTGATTAATTAATTGATTAATGCATATCTGTTTGTATCTATTGTTTCATCTTACACTAATACAAAAAATTTTATTGAATGCAATTTTATGATATGCTGTTAACTCTCTTCAAGTACGATATTTGAAATGATCAATAAAGTTTTGAAATTGAAATTATCAACGGTTCAGGTTTCTTTTTTACTTTTAAACACCTACGAATCAGATAATTTATCCTTTATTATAAGTCCAATAAATTTAAACAGTAGTAAAAACATCTGCTAAAATTAGTAGGTTAAACAAAGGCAAAAAAAGCTATTCCAAAAATAGCCTATGAAGTCAAAGAATTCATGTTTGTTAAAAGTTAGAATAATGAATGCATTTGAAGTCAATTCATTATAAAAACACGTATTGAGGAAAATTTTTTAGAAAAAAAGGAAGTTGAATTTGTGAAAACGAAATTATAAATTAGAATGGTTTTTTTTTTGCTTGAAGCAGAAATTTGAATAAAACATTTAGGCGATGTCGCATTAATTTTAGGATTATTTACGAATTCATAAAATGATTAATTATAGCTTGCAGGAAAATAAAAGAAAAGCAAAAATTTACAGATTTTATCATTAAATTATAATCAACTAATAAAATAAATCTCAAGCGAATCTCTTCTTCCTTCAACAATTGTACACACCGGAAGTAATATCTGAAAGTTTAGAAATTGAATTATTTAATAGCACCTCATTTGAATGAAACAATTAGTGCTAAACTTCAATTGAAATTTCATATGAATGAAATTAAATATGATATAAAACTTAATTTTTATAGTTTTATTAAAGAAGAAATACTCACAATTCGATATGATAAATGATAAATGATGATAGAATGATTTTATTTTCATTTTTATTTTCTTATGAGACTGCTAATTGACAAATATCAAAATGAATAGTCTAATGATATTTGTTTTGAACTTTCACTGGAAAGTTTAATGAAACATGAATTTAGAAAAAAATTGATGCTTATCTACTAAAAGAAGGAATTTTCACTAAGAATAATTCAAGATATTAAATGATGATCATCAATGAAGTGCTTGATTTGTACAGGATATTCGTCAAATGGTACAAAAGATTAGAAGACTGAAACCGAAATAAAGATTCGAATGATGAAAATCTGAACTATAAATAAGCATTAAAAGAGTCCCGAAATATTAATTTTATTGCTATATTCCATATCAATTTTACAATAGTGAAATTTTGTGAGCAATGAAAATTTTTTAATTGACAAATTCGTTTCGAAGCGGATATTCAACAATCTTCAACCTAAACATTATAAGTTCATTAATTATCGGCAACTTTATGAAATGAGGTTGTGTGAATTATTGTTTAAGTCATCACAGAAAAATAACAAACTTCTAAGGGAGATAATCTGAGGGCCAGGCATTTTGCTCAATCAATGAAATGAATTAATTTATTAGGGAGAAAAAAGTTAAAGAAAGAAAAAATATGTTTGGCAAATTCGAGGGATATAAATTTAAACGTCTATTTCTTTGCATATAAACTTATTTTCATTTAAAGTTTGCAACTTGACATTTTTTTTTGCCTCATTCAAAATTTGATTTTGAAATCAAAGAATCTTTTTAATGAAATAAAATTAAGAATTTTGTTTGCTTTATTATTCAATTAAATTATATTGAAAATAAAGGAGTAAGAGAAACTGAAAAGGAAAATTAAATTTACAAAAAAACAATTTGCCATTAATCCAAATAATTATTTTTTTAGTTTTTTTTTTTCAATCGCTTTCGTCTGCTAGTTTATTAGATCCGATAAATTTTGATGAGATCATGTTAGAACATTTATTTTCCAGAAGATTTTTCAACTCCAAAACATGCAAATATATTTTTTATCAATTCTCCATTTTGTTTTTTTTTGTAACATTCAATTTTTTTTTCTGTTTCAATTCATCTAAATTGTTGTATTTATGTAGTTAAAAATGATTTTATCTGGCCTGAAATACTTTTTGGAACTAATTACAAACGGCAAATTTGTCCTTAAAATAATAAAATTTTCAATTGACGGTGATATGTAATAGATGGAATCAAAATTTAATTTGACACATTAAAGCTATTATCAAAGAAGACGGTTTTTTAAAAAAAATTTACTCCGTTATCTTTTTTTGTTTTCATCTTCATCTGCATGTTATTTCGAAAAAGAAAAGACGAGATTAATTTCGAGTTATTAAAGCATTTCTATTATTACAGTTTTATAAATTAATTGATGTTTAAATAATTTTAATTATTCCATATTCTTTTGTTTCATATCTTTCTTTTACTTCAATTAATATTGTTATTTTACTCGAGTATTTTGAACTCCATTTTTATTAATTTTTTTGATCAAGATTGACCAAAAATTTTATTACAATAATCAATGATAAAATGGAATCAACAAAAAGTACAATTATAATTTCAATTAATAGGAAATAAATAATGCTCTTAAAAATCAATATTTCATTGTATTAAAAAAAATTAGGAAGATGAAATTGTTGAAATTAGTTTTTCACTTTTCCATAAAATATTCTCAAAAAATTAATGGATAAAGTGATGTAACTATAAAACGATATGATATAATGATATGTGTAAAATTTGATATGATAATAAAATGATATATATGTAAAATTTAAAAATCACAAATCTTTTTGTGTTTTTTTTTTGTCCAAGCAATGTTGTGCTTGGCAATATTTTATATTCTTCCGTTTCCTCTTTTTTTGGAATGATATAATTGTGTAAAATATGAATCAATAAGAATCAATAAATCAATAAGAAAACTCCTTAAAAAATTGAGTGGTCATTTTTAAAGTATAATTACTATTAAAAATTGCCACAACAACATCCGTCTACCTGAACATACTTTACAGGAAACCGATTATAACAGATTTCTTTAGTATAGTGATAAGTTTATCATTTAATGATAAACGACAACAATTTATCATTTTCTGCCAAATATGAATAATCTTTTCGCCATTTATTTCATTCGTTATTTTATTAAAATTGATTTCATAAATTATCAGAAAGAGCAGAATAAGATTTGTAGTTGATGAAATCAAAATTCCATCAACTTGTTCAATTTTTCATCTACAATTTTTTACTGCTTCTTTGATTCTAAATTAAGTAGAGAAAGAATGGAGGATGTGAAGGAAATTGAAAACGATACAAGAAATGGAGTGTGAATATAATTATCATCAATGTTAACATAAAATTTCCAGTTTGGTACTCGAGATTGACATTTAGGAGTTTTATTACTCGGATGCTGAATCGATATTATTGGATATCGAGTCAGATATGATTCGAATGCTGAATCGGGCATTATTCGGATAGAGTGATAAAATATTCTTTCCTTTTTATAATTATTATTTATTATTATCATTCGTTATCATTTTTTTGAAGATTTTGAGAGCAATGCTTTTAATGCAGATTAAGTGTTAATTTCGATGAAATCATTTTGAGAAACCATTCCAAACAAAATTCTAAATCTAAAAGTTTATCATAAAATAACAGTTAGCGTTATCTTGTAACTGTAAAAGCTTTGATCGTTATAGATAGCTGATTCTTTATCATTCCACACTTCTTCAATTATCATTCCACAAAATAGTTGTACAAAATAGTTGTAGAAAAAAAGTTAATTAACATGTTCGATTGAGATTGGCATTATTTTTCGATTCAGGTTCCCATCATCCTTCTACTTTCCAACCTCTTCTTCTTCCTCTATTTTGTTCTCATTTAATTATTATTGTTGCTTTGAAAATTATTCTGCAAAAAAAAAAATTATGTTCAGTATGAAATGAATTTTATTAATAAATTCAAAAAAGTTTTTACAGGCAATCATGAAAGGTGGCAAAATGGAGAACTGGTAGGGAAGAGAAAATGGTTGGTTGAAAGTTTTTAATTTTATTGTTGTTTCCTCTCAATTGCATTCGTCAAAAAAATTTTATTTTTTTTCCATTTCCGAAAAGCGACGCAATGGTAAGTAAACAGACGAAAAAGGTAGCAAAATGTATGTGTGTATGTGTGTGTATGTGTGTGTATGTGTGT